AGTATCGAATCATTGTGTTTACACCTGAATGTACTATAATGTTATATGCCAACTTTAGCTCCATACACGAAAGGAAAAACAAACAAAAGGGAAAAAAGGGAAAAAAGGTGACAGGGAATACTTTCCATATATTTATTCCCATTTGCATTTGATCTCTAATAATCTGCATATTTATGAACTTTGCCATATTTCAGTTAGGGTGTTTCCTATATTACAGACATCAAACTTTTGACACATGTGTTGCTGATATTTTATATTTTGTTATTGGGCTTTTATATGTTGTTTTTAATTACTTTTGATACCTTTTAAAAATACTTCAATGTATATTTTTCTAGTTAGCAATGTCAAGAACAAAACAGTGACAGTAAGTCCCTCCTTTATAAAATCTGAAAATTATCATAATTTTACTTTTGTTGGTATTATCTTAGATGTCTGTCTCATTTTGTCATTGTTACGTTATATTCTTTTTTTATATATCTTCTCTTTAAATAAATTGTATAATTTCTGTTTTTGTTACTGTATTTACCATAGCCAATTCTAATTAATTCTTATGTAAGTGGTTTCCATTCTTTCTGCCAATTCATTCATATCATGACTTTGGCAATTTGGAAGCAACAGACTGGGATACTTGGATGATTCAGTTGGTTAAGTGTCTGCCTTCGGCTCAGGTCATGATCACAGGGCCCTGGGATCAAGTCCCACACTGGGCTCCTTGCTCTGTGAGGAGCCTGATTCTCCTTCTGGCTGCCTCTCTCTGACAAATAAATAAAACTTTTGAAAGCTCTGGATAATGGTATGTCGCTCAGTTAGCTGGTAAGCATCTTCTGGTAATATTTCACAAGTAGCGTGATTCTTGAATTCTTGGATACCCGATATTTTATGGTTATCTTAATATTTAAATGACCTTTTCAGTGGGAATAAAATTCTTATGTAACAAACTTTCTCTTTGAAAACTCTGAAGGCATTACTCCTTTCTATTCTGGCATCTACTATTATGGAGAAAGACGTCTGAAGCCAATATGCTGTTAGTCTTGGATCGGTAACCCCAGTTTTCTGCCTTGGTGTATGTGTTAGTTTTCACTAGGTATACCATATTATAACCTCGAAAGCATAGTGGCTTCCCACAACAAATAAGTATTTCTCCCTCATACCACATGTTGGTGGTCAGGCTATAGATCTGCTCCAGGCTACTGGCTGGGTGCTCTTCCACTTCCTGCATATTCTCATTCTGGCGTACAGGCTAAGGGAGCAGCCCCTATTTGGACATGGACTTTTCCTGGAAAATGGCCCAGGAGCAATAAAGTTGGCAAAAACTCTTGTCTCGGGGATGCCTGGGTGGCTCAGTTGGTTAAGCAGCTGCCTTCAGCTCAGGTCATGATCCCAGCGTCCTGGGATCGAGTCCCGCATCGGGCTCCTTGCTCTGCGGGGAGCCTGCTTCTCCCTCTGCCACTCTTGCTCCGCAGGGAGCCTGCTTCTCCCTCTGCCACTCTGTCTGCCTGTGCTCACTCTCTCTCTCTCTCTGACAAATAAATAAATAAAATCTTTAAAAAAAAAAAAAAAAAAAAAAACTCTTGTCTCTACAAGTTTCTGATTGATGGGGCATAAATCAGGTTCATTCACATGTTATTGACCAAATCCAAAATAACTGGAGCAGGAAGGAGGTGGTTAATATTTGGGAACAATAATAACATCTCCCACAAAATTCATAGGACTCTATTTTAACTCTCTGAAATTTTGGTTTATTACTGGGGTTCTATAGGATTTTAGCCAATTCTGCAACCTTGAACTTCTTTATTGGCAAAGAAACATTTTAATTGTCCTTTGGGGACATCTTTCAAACAGGATCAATTTGTATGATATTTAGTAGAAATGACTAAAATTTTACTCTAGTTTTTACTCTTTATGACACAGCTATGAAGATATTAATTCTTACTTTATTCTTGCTAATATAAGGAACTGAAGTTAATGAATATGAAAATGTCTCCATCTCCACTTCCCAGAAGGAGAGTCAGACTTTTGTTTCTTGGACTCCCAAGAGTAGTTAATAGTATTTTCGTGTATTTGGAGCCATCCCAAAGCCAGTGCCACCAAAGATTTTGTCTGGGATACATGGGTCCTTGAAGGCAGGAGCCAGAAAAGGATGAGTCTGAAAAGAAGTGGTGTAATCTATGAAGAAAGCTGGTTCCCTGGGGCCTTTGTGGAGTGGGAACTTTGTGGATCCTATAAGTAAGAGGCACCTGCATAAGGCTTGTGTGCAGGTTCTTAGGACAGATGGGACCCCGAATGGGGATGGCTGCAGGTGTCCCAAGGGAAGCTGGACCCTGGGCATGAGGGCATGAAGGCATGGGAGCCACAGCAAAGGTCCCCATGCTCAGTTCGGCAGCGAAAAATAGACCAAACAGGCTTAAAAGAATCCTTTTAAATCCTTGTGACTCATAAGGAGGGAGCACAGGGATTTACATTACTCTGAGAGAATCTTCCCAAGGGATTTTAGTAAATCCAAACATACTGGTAGCCAATACGAGGAAGCATAACTAGAACCTCCTAAGAGCATAATTGTAATTACACAGTTATTCAGCAATTACTCATTATAGAAAGAAAAAGAAAGAAAAAAAAAAAAGAAAGAGGAAAGGAAGGAAGGGAGAAAGGGCAGAAGAAAGGAAGAAAGGCAGCGCCTGGGTGGCTCAGTGGGTTAAAGCCTCTGCCTTTGGCTCAGGTCAGGATCCCAGGGTCCTGGGATTGAGCCCCGCATCGGGCTCCCTGCTCGGCGGGGAGCCTGCTTCCTCCTCTCTCTGCCTGCCTCTCTGCCTACTTGTGATCTCTGTCTGTCAAATAAATAAAATAAAATCTTAAAAAAAAAAAAAGAAGGAAGGAAGAGAGGAAAGAACAAAGGAACAAAGAAAGGGAAAGAAAGAAAAGAAATCCGGTCTATTATCTCAGTTGCTTCCTTACATTTGTTTAAGCATTGCTTTCAACTGGTATCTATTTCTCTATTTTTTTTTCTCTCATCTACATGCTCTTTTCTTTCTTACTAGAAAGAAATTATCTTGTATGGTAATTTGCATAACTGGCTTCCTCATACACACACGTTATATATATATCAACTTAAACAAAACAAAACAAAGCAAAACAACTTTATGGGGCACCTGGGTGGCTGAGGCAGTTAAGTGCCTGACTCTTGGCTTTGGCTCAGGTCAGGATTTCAGGGTCCTGGGATCCAGCCCCGAGACTTGATCCAAGAGCTCAAGGGCTCAGCAGGTACAGAGTCAGCTTGTGATTTGTCCCTCTCCCTCCCCCTCTGCTACCCCACCCCTGGCTCATGGGCACATGGGTGAGCTCTCTCTAGTTCTCAAATAAATAAATAAAATTAAGACAAACAAACAAAAAACCTTTACAATATGTGTTAGAAAAGTTTCCATGTCTTGATTTACCCCATCCATTTCAACTGTTTGATGGTAATAATGACTGGCAACGCTTAAGGGCTTTACGGGTTCCAGACCCTGTACTGAGTGCTTTACTGTCAGCTTATTGAACTCTCACAACATCCATTCTATGACTGAGAAAACTCACAGAGTATTTGAATAAGCTGCCCAAGGTCAAAATTGTCCCAAATTCTCAGCCAGTCTACTTCCAGAACCTGTGGCCTGAAACACCGCATTACTGGATTCCATTATAGGAATGTAACATTGACTTACTTAATCATTCCCTACTGATACACAGTTAGACTTTTATGATTTGGTATTACAAACAGCTGTAATGAAGTTACTGGCAACTTAAATATTTAGTGGACTATGAGATATGATGGGCCAGTTTTCCATAGACGATTAATTCTTTTCATAAAACCAAATGTAATGAATGTTCAGATTTACTTAGCTTTCAGAAAAATCATGACTTTTCCTCATAAACTATGGTAATTAACTATATGACAAACTCCCTATAATTAAGGGATAAATTGCTGGCATAAAAATAAAGAACGCTGGCATGCTGTAATTTACTCTGTAGCTTACAGTTTATGAAACATGTACTTTGAACATAGGAGGTTATATAAGAACATAACTTTAAAAGAAACCCTCTGCCTTCTCCACACAAAACTGGCAAGCAGAAAGTGATAGCTTGGCATGATATATCACGGTGCTCAAACTGCCATCCAGGTCTGCACACCAGACTTTCATACTGGACTCCCTTTTTCTCCTCTGAGGGCCAGTTTCAAGAACCCAACACCACTCTCCAATGATCAATTACTAAGATCAAAGAACTTTGCATTCACTTGTTTCCCATTGTGAACTCTGATGAAAAGCAATGTATTTACTCCAAATACTCCATATTACAAACGAAAGAGAGAGCCACTGTGGGCTTCCCTTAAATGATGGCCTTCCTCCCTTTCTGGCTGATGAGCACAAGTACATGTCCTCTCAGCAACAGAGCTCCACAGGGAAGCCCGAGATATGTCCCCAGTAGCTCGATTCAAGATCTTCGTGTGGTCTGGGTGACGCAGGAGCAGACCCTGCACCGTGCAGACAGTGTTCTGCCTGAAAACAGGATGAGAAGAGCAGGGAGCAAAGTCGGAACTCAGCAAGGCGTGTACCAACGCCCTTCGATGGGCAAAGGGGAGAACTGAATCAGATTTTACTCCCTAACTACCGAAGTAAAAACAGCACATGAATTTGCCATGAACAAAACAATTAATGAAATTAATTGATGTACTGAAATTTTCTAGAGCCTCTAATAGAATATCTTTGTTTTCATATTTTAAAACTCATTGTAAATAAGAATAAATTTGCCTAAATTCAACAACAGGGATTTATAATCACTTTATACATAAAAGGATGTAATGGTATATCAGGATATTTGGCAATGCTGGGAGGCTACTAAAGAACGCTTATACAAATAAACATGTCAAGAAAGAGAAGACAGTGATTATTGTTCGAGTTAACCTCAGAGATGCATAAAATGAAGGCTAATTACTACCCTGAACACTGTCTTCAAAATATGTCTAATACCTCTTCCTAAATTCTGTTGCTTTCTATTATTTCTTGAGTTAAAAAAAGATCTAATTTTGTACATATTATTCAGTTTTAAACAAAATACACGTATCTGGAAATAGCACATTGTATAACTTTGCTGCTTATCGATGATGTGGACTTTCTCAAATTGCTTAACTACGTGGGAGTTTAGTTTTCTTAACTGTACGATGGAGACCCTTCGTGTAATTGGGCACCAGCGAAGCCACTGTGGAAAGGAGATGAAAACAATCCAATGGTTCGGAGAGGAAAGAAGGTTCTTTGTTTTTCAGAACCATCGAGAGCATGTCTGTGGACTGCTCCCTGAGCTCATCCAGGAACTGAGGCTGTCAAAGTGGATCCGTCATCTTAAAAAGTTAAAGATTGCTTTCAGTCATACCTTTTCCACTTGATGAGAAGGGTGAGGGCGGACAGAGAGACAAGAGTCCTCAAGGGATGAACCAGAGGCTGCCCTGACCACTTCTGCGTATATCCCATTGGTCTAAACTTCGCTGCATGGTCACGCCTACCCGCAGTGGTCACTGGGAGATACAGACTATGGCTGGGCAGTGGCGGATGTAGCTAAAATTGGATTGGGGGATTCAGTTACTAAAAGGAAGAAGGCGAGAAGGGATATTGGGGGACTACGAGCAGCATTTGCCACTATAATGACACCTAGCTTTAAAAACTGGTGTAAGGAATAAAGCTACACTTTCAGGGCACAGAAGTGTATTTGTGGAATTTATGTGAGCAATCTGGATAGCACTCGACATATACTGAATGAACATTAAACGGCAGTTATTAATATTGTTATTATTATGAGGAAGATTTAGTACCTCTTTCCTCACTATAATCTTGAATTCCCTCCACAGTATCATGGTTAAGTGATAGTTTAACTATTCTTGAATCCTTATAATAAAAGGATTTAAAAAAAAAAAAAGGAAATTTCATTGCTACTAAGGAAGGCATCTCATTTTGAGAAAGTTTTTCCTTCTTTCTAGACATTATTTGTCCTCTTACACCTTCTTTTCTTTCATCCTAATTGTAACCTCTGAGGTGCTGTTAGAACACATCGCATTGCTCTGCCATACAACAGTCCTTCAGATATGTATGGAAGGTTATTGCTTCTTCCATGAGTTTTCTTTCTCTCTAATCATTTTTTATTCCTTCAACAGTTTTTCATAATCCATGATTTTCAGTCCACTCCCTGTCCTGGGCACATTCATTTGTACGTTTAACAAATATTTGAGTACTGACTATTTTACCAATGCCCACCTCAAAACCATGTCACCAAGGGCAGAATACAGTGTTCCAAGGTAGTGTGAGCAGAGGATACCATCGATCTCCTCATTCAGGATATTATTCTCCCTAAGTGGAACTTAAGATCATATAACTCTTGGCAGTTGTAACAGGCTGTTGACACATGCCAGATGGTAACCTATTCTACCCTCTGATCCATTTTCATTTGTGTAGTTACCCTAGATGTACCTATCTTCCATGAACTCCTTTTTAAATCCAAATCCAGAACATCTGCTTTATTTCTAGTTGTTAATTGTATCTAATCTCTCAAGAACTTTTATTCTTTCAACCAATGTATTAATTATCCCTCACTGATTCATGCCATCTAAGCTCCTGATAAGCATGTAATTGATCTCTTCATCTAACGTATTGATTAAAATGTGGGTATGGACAGGGCTGATAAGAAGCCTTTAATAACCCTCTGAGCAATCATTGAACTAATTACAAATGGGCATTATTGCATCATCATTTAAGAAATATTACCCTCTCTAGTTCACAAGGTAAGTTTGAGAAAAAATCTCAGGAAAAGTTTTTGTTAATACCTGGCTTCTGTGTTCATTGTCATGCCCAATGAAGTCTTAACCTGCCATTCAGAGTGCTACCTGGTCTGGCTCCATTCTGCCCAACCTGATCCTCAGGACCTCCCTGATTAGGAGAGCACGATTGCCATGATCTTTATATTAGGAGAGCATGCTGCCAGATCTTTATATAATGAGGTTCAACAAAATTTATTGAGCCCTATTATGTACTGGGCATTATTCTAAACAGTTTCTCACATAAATAGAGGATGGGAAAAGTGGAATATATATGAAAAAAATGCATGTATTCTCAAATAAGACTACCTTATGATTTCACCCATGTGTGAGACCATGATTGCTCTATGTTCCTTATCTCAAAGTTATGGCAAAGTACAGAACATATTCCATATATAGATATTCAGCTTTTAGCACGAGGTATTCAAAGAATTATTTTCAATGTGATATGCATTTTTCTAAGATGATGTCTTTAGTGACTAAATTCTTGCTAAATACCACATTAGATTCTAAATTTGTTTCAGTAAATCAAACATGACTGTGCAGGAACTCTCAGGAATGATTATTCATTTGCTCTAGATAACAATCACATTTGAGAATTTAAATATGAATCACCTGTACAGATGTTACCTTTTCCAAGGGACTTTCTACTCGAGGAATGCTGATCATTGGCATCTGTGCCAGATTATCCATGTGTATATGTTCATTTTCTGGTTGTCTTCCTTTGAAATTATTTACCACACACACAACCTAAAATTTCAGGAGAAAAATGCAGTTGAAGCAAAGCCACACTCCCTGTGACTATGACCCTTTTAAGTAGCTTAATAAATCTAATCACAGAAATAAAGTATTAAAATTACTTAAGTATTACATATGTAACTTGACATCCAGGTTTATTTTACATAAATTTTAATAGTTATTCCAGTGCGAATGTGTTAGAGAAAGTGTATCAAATAATGTGTAGCTTAGTTAATAATGACAATTTCATTATTCTAAAATTTTCATTAAATTAGGTTGTAGTCAATGCTCAAACCAATCCTTAAATAACATCTTAGCCTTATAACAATTCGTAGCAAGCTAACCTTTCCCTGATGTGGCTAACCTACAACTTAATTTAAATGCTAATTATTTCCCATTGCTTCAAGATCATTACATTTATAATAAACCCTCTACAATTGGCACTTTCCAATTTAGTAGCATCCCTTTAATTAACCTAGTTTAATGTTTATTATTGTATCCCACGTATACTTGGCATTTCAACAATAGCTTACTGGGGCTACCAGTGAAATAGAAGACCTTTTACAAAAGGAAATTGACCCTTGTTTCAATTGATTATATCCCACAGGTGACAGCATTTGAACTAAGCCAGAGGTTCTCATACTGCAGATTACAGAAAAATAAAGGCCCAGCACTGTTGAAAATGCATGTTCCTAAGCCCTCCCCTAAAGATTCTGATTTTGTGGATGAAGGATGGGGCCTACAAGCTGCCACTTTTCTGAAATACATTCCAGAAGCTTCTGAAGCAGGTGAATAATTACTTTAAGAAATAGTGAATTAAACAACACAGGAAAATTACTTGCTATTATTTGCTTATATTGGAGAAGTGGAGAAGATATTCTGAGCCTTCTTTTTCTGGATTTACAGTCTATGATCAAGCCAAAATACAGAACTTACTTGCAGTTATAACCTAACATTCATTTTTTTAAAAAAATAAATGCTTAATATATAATTACACATTTACATTGTAGATTTTCACAAATGCTCCATTGGAAAGTCTTTTCTTTAGTAAGGCTCATTACTGAATATTTTCAAAGGCCAATTAGATCTTGGTTATTCTCCAGTTTTTAAATAAAATTTATACATCTGCAAAATAATAACACATACTATGAGACTTTATCTTAGAGAAAATATTGCCCTCGTCGTGGAATACTTATTTTTCCATTTCCATGAGTAATTACAGTTCAGAAGCACAGATCAAAGCCTGACAATTTGACCCATCAACTTTATCATTGCCATCAAGATCTTTAAAGTAAGGGATGGTACAGGCTTAGAGATGGGTACTTGATAAACCTAGCATCAAATGATGACACTACATAAGACTAACAGTGATTGTCTTATAGAAGGGGTCAGTACATTTTGGCCATAAGAGGCACATAGTACATATTTTTGGCTTTGCTGGCATACAGTCTCTGCAGCAGCTGTTCAATTCTGGTATTTTGGTGTGGAAATAGCCATAGACAATTTGTAAATGAATGGGCATGTCAGTGTTCCAATGCAACTTATAAAAAAAAAATAGATAGCAAGCCAAATTTCACCTAAGGGCTATAGTTTGCCAACTGACCACTGCCTAGAGTACAAAGGATATAGTCAAGAATTTTAGCCAATAACAACATAACAAGTAAACAGTTTCCATGATCACTTCATGAAGTATACACACATATTTCCCTTTTCATTAATACTGTAAATTAAGGAAAGTTTAGGCAGATGAAAAAATTGTGACAAATTCTTGTGAAGTAAAATTTGTTGAAATAACTATGTATGTACATAGACGTATGGAAGTCATGAGATGAAGAAGAGTTCATCTAGAGTTAATATGGGATTCTGAAAGATTGTATCAGTTATCTCTTTGCCTTAATTGAGGGTTAGGACAACACCACTGAAGCAGTTGAGAATTCATAGGCAAACTATTTAAACACCTAACAGATAGTAGATATTCATTAAATAGTATCTATTAGCATAATAATTATTCTTCATTACTGTTATTATTTAAATTACAAGGGAGGAAATTGCCAAATCTTCCTTAGAACAATATTCAAATATTTAATAAGCCTTGCCTGCTAACATTCACAAGTATGGAACTGATTTCCTATTAGAAAAATGCTCATGGCAGGGGGTGGGGGGTGTGCCTGGCTGGCTCAGCCAGTTAAGTGTCTGACTCCTGAGTTCAGCTCAGGTCATGATCTCAGGGTCATGGGATCAAGCCCTGCTTTGGGTTCCATGCTTAACATGCAGTCTGCTTGTCCCTCCCCTGGCTCTCTCTCTCTCAATCTCTCTTTCTCTCAAACAAATAAATAAAACCTTAAAAAAAGAAAAAAGAAAAATGTTCATAGGTAAAAGCAAAAGGCTTGGTTTTTGATCCCAAGTCTTGTATGTTCTTGGACTGTCCTCCAGGTCTGAGTTTTCTCAATATTTAAGGGAAGAGGTTGCAATATTTTACCAAGTTAGGCCACTCTTTTGGTTGTCAAAGGTAGGAAAAATTTAACAAATGTTCAAAGTGAAACCCCAGATCTGCCTATCTCCTGACCCCGCTATAAAGCTTGGTTTTTTTCTGGATCCTTTCAAGAAAACAGCCCCCACATGTCCTCTCCCCTAATTGCATAAGGCTGAAAACTTGGATTTATTCTTTATACTTCCTATACACAACCAGTCACTCAATTTGCTCTATTTTCCTTCCTAAAATTTTTGATTTCTCATATCTGCTTTCTTCCAACTCTACTACCAACTCCAAAGACTAAGCAATCACCACCATTTGTCTGCATTCTCTAAAGTCTCCCTCCAATCCATTCTATAGTGACGTAAGAATGAGCTTTCCAGAATGCAAATTGGATCATGTCACCCTTCCTCAAACGATCGTGGCTGGGCTCCCCTTTTCTCTAATACTAGAAACCCTGCCCACCTTTGCAGCCTTCCTTCTCTGTGCTTCCCTTTTTCTGCCTTTTGTTTGGAATAGTGAACTCCACTCTCTTTGGCCACCATATGTATCCTCCTCACCTGTGATATCTCATCTCAGTATCACTTCTTCACTGGCTTTCTCTGACCCCAGGCTGTTTTTGTTTGTTTGATCACATCAATCCCTGATGCTATTCACCAAAACATCTATTTCTAATGAAATTACATATCTGTTAGCATAATACTTTGGTTGATGTGAATTTCTTCCTTAGAGAACTTCCTTTTAAGCGCTATGAAAGCAGAGATGCTGTCTCTCTCTTTCTCTCTCTCTTTTTTTTTTTTTTGCTCACCATTATATTTCCAGTGCCACAGTGAATGGGTAGACTAATGAATGAGCATGTGTCCAGGCCAAGAATTCTCAAATTTTCTGATGTTCCTATATAATTTAAAGTGACATGCCTCTGAAACGTTCTATTTTTACATGAATGACTTTCATGTGTATAATTCTACCCTGTCCCACAAAAATGACACTAATAAGTCACCATTACGTGTATAATTTTTATGCTCTTTTGCCAGTGGTAATGATAAATTAATCTGATCTATTTGTGGTCATTTTCACTCTTCACTTGTAGCAAGTAAAACACGTGTATTGTTTGGGCTTAAGTGCATAGGCTCTGGGGGTCAAACAGGGCTGGGCCTTAATGCCAGGCTCCCTGATTTATTCACCGTGAGCTTGAGCAAGCAACTCAGTATAACTAAACCTGCTTCTTTTACCTGCAGAATGAGAACAATAATAACTACAACTCTTCATGCTGTTATGAGGACTAACTGAGTTAATGTAGTAAAGACTGCTCTAATAACTCTTACTGTTATTGTATTACATATGATAACATGACAAATTCTTGCTACGGCTCAGTAACCTTGAACTACTGGACTAGACCTTGGGCATCTTTTTTGGAAACACTTTGAAACATACATTTGTTAAGCATATATTTGTTGAATAATATTAACCAATCTACAACTATCGTTCAACTAGTATTTGGTTTCTATTTTCTTAAGCATGGGGATTCTGTTCTCTAACTTTACAGAAAATATACATGGGATGAGTGTGGTAGAGGACAGGCCTCATTAGAATATAACATTAGAATATAACATTCTCATTAGAATATAACAGGCCAAACTTTGAGGGCAGTGGAAACTCAGGAAAAATGGGAGAACCAGGTAATCAGGGACACTTCTTGGGCAAGTTGGGACTTGTCTGAGAAAAATCGCAAGTGCAAAAAGGATCTGAATAGTTGTCAAAGGTGAGGACCATGATATCCAGCGCCTTCTCTGCACCACACACTCAACTGTATTTACTACCTTATGGGACTTCACCTAAAACTGGAAAGAGCTCTGGGAAGTAGTAAAACAGTTCCCCACTCATTCATTCATTCATTCATTCATCCATCAAGTATTTCTTGAGAGTCACCTATCTACCAGACCGTGTACTTTTTACTGGGAATATTCCATGAAGAAAACATATAAATGCCTTCTCCATGCAAGCTTATATTCTGGTGGGTTTGACAGCAAATAAATAAATAAATAAAAACAAAAATATCGTATGTGGTATATTAAAAGTTGAAACATTCTATGGAGAAAAGTGAATAGGGAATGAGGAAGGGATTCCTTGGGGAGGGAAAGCCATATTAAATACAGGTAAGGGAGGCCTCCCTAGGTTAGAAAAAATGAGAAGCCAAGTGACCTCTTCAAGGTCACATACCCAGCATGTGGCAAAAGCAGGATTCAAACCTAGGTTCATGTGGCTCCCAGACCCCTGTTTTGCTCTCTAAAATATACAGAGGAATGGGCATTCTGCTGGGGCAAACATAAAGTCCGCACAGAACCTGTCTGTGAGGGAAAGGAAATTGGGTTGATGTGTGGTACAGGATTCTTCTGCAAGGAGAGAACATACACTTGGCTGCGAAGGGTGCAGCCAGATTACTGACGATCCCAGAAGCCCAGTGGATGTATCTGGGTTTAATGCAGCAGGAATGAAGTTTGTTTTGTTTTGTTTGGTCTTGTTATTAGCAGCGGATTATGTTCCAAAGAAGAGAGAGGCAGAATGGGAGGTATTTGGAGGAGAGTCTGAAGTGAGAAGGCAGTTAGGACCCAGAGATAGAAGAAAGAGAAAAAGCACTGATCTCGAAAATCGAGTACAGTCCCACAGTATACATGTTGGTCAGAATGGCCAAGAAATGAAATGTGGAGGAGACATTTTGTAGTGGAAATAAACTGGGACCAGATGAAATCACCTGGTGTGGGAGATGAACAAGAAGAATGAGTCAAAGGCAGATGCTAGACATTGGGTCTGGGTGACGGGGGGATGTGGATGCCTTTAACCAAGACATGGAGCCTTGGAGTAGGTTAGTGCTCATTTTATTCTGGAACCACTTCAGAGTTCTGCACATGGTGCAAGATAATTGGAGACACCCCAGGATACTGCCAGCCAGAGCCGGAGTTGCTGCTCAGAATAAACGTCCTCCTTGCCCAAATGAGAAGCCCGGGAACCATCATGGATTGCTCCCTCTCCTTCGCCTGTCATCCCCAGTGTGCCAACAAACTCCAAACCTTCCATCTCCACAAACCTCCCAGATATCCTCCCTTCTGTTTGTGCCCATGGAGGCCTGATTTGGGCCATCTTATTTCCCTCGTTCTGCACAACTTGCCCCTTCTATCCTCACCTGGAGTTTCACTTTCCAGCAAACCTATTTTTAAAACACAGATTGTATCATAGAGTAAAAGGGGCTGAAAGGAAGCAAACCTTCAGTCATCCACGTGTCCATTTGTTGAACATACACCATTTCATTTAAACTTTTAAGTCCTTAGAAGCTTTAAGGAGGCTGTTATTAGCCTCATTTAATGAGGAAGAATCTGAGGCTTGGGAAGGTACATTGGTAATGGCCCAAATGAGGTAAACTGCATAATGGCATGCACTGAGTAAATAAAGAAGCTGAGATTCAACCAGCTTTAACTCACATTAAGTCTGACAAGGGCTCTCAGATCCCTGGCATTGCAAAGTAAAAAGCTCAGATCATTGTAAGCTACAAGGCCATTCAGGATAATTACCCCTGTGTTTTTCTACTTCCCACTCGTCACTCACGCTGGATGACTTGTGCCATTCCACAATGCTACTCCTCCACGTGTGCATGCTGTGCCCAAGCCTACAATACACTAAGGGCTCCATAAATGCCTATTTAATGAAGCATTTTATATTGCTTCTGCACACTGTGCTCTTTGCCCCTCATTCCTTATGCTCCCACCTTAGACCTTCCTGCTTTACAAACCTTTCAAGTTTATGCCCTTTCTGACTGTCCCTAATCCCAACAAGATCTCCTGAGTCTATGAACTGATATCATTACATTTAACCTTCTATAAAACTCTTTCTATCTTGTGACCTATTTAAGTAGATGGACTGTGTCTTTTCATGTGATTTAATCCCCAGCACCAAGCACCGTGCCTGGATTCTAACAGGGGCTCAGTAAATGTTTCTGTTACGAAGGAAGAGAGGAATGGACATGTGGAGGGAATATCCTATTATTGTCTGACCCCTGAACAAGGCTGTAACTCCCACAGGAGACAGATCATGTTTATCTGAGCCTCCTCGCACCCCCAGTCCTTGGCACAGTGCCTGGAACCTGCAGGCACTCACACTCAGAAATGGTCGTGCATGAGTGCACGAATGTTTGTTGAGTTATTACAGTTAAGGCATTATCTTCATGGGACCTTTCATAAGGTCATTTTCCAGGTGTATGAGAATGTCCGAGGGGCCACTGTGGAGTGTTCTGAATATACGCAATCGGAGGTGCTCCAGCCCAAGGGGAATCCACGGTCCCTCCTTCACTACCCGGTTCTTGGATGAGGACGTGACGGGGGAGACTAGCGTTCTAGATTTGGTCTTGCAGGGGGTCATGATGTTCACGGGAAGTGAAGACAAGTCGGCAACAGCCACAGGAAGATGAGTAGGAAGACTGATGAGGCAGATGCCAGTGAAGAGGTTCTGGACCCATGCAGCTGAAACCTAGTTACATCTGATGCTAGTGCTTTGAAATTTTTTTATTTTTATTTTTATGCTTTGAAATTTTAACTTTTGGGAGTTCTTCTCTTAGGGTTGATGTAAGGTGTTTGTCTTGTTTTGTTTTGTTTTGTTTTAAATGTTTCGATCTGCTTCATCTGCGGTAAGTGAAACAAAGGAAAAGGCTCTGGCCCGAGTCTGGGCCCTGGTTTTCCTGGGGCCATAAGATATCTGTGGGAGAGAGGTGGGGGTAAGCCTAAGTCTCCCAGGCATCTAGCAGACCAGAGGGAGTGACATTAGGAAGAAAAGCAGCACAGAGCCTGGGGCAGGGATGAGGTCATAGTCAGCACCCTACCACTGGAGGTTCTACAAAACAGAGCCTGTTTAAAATGCCCGGCACACAAATTGTTAGCTGGAAAGGTTCATGCAAGTTTTTGCTTACTGGTTAGGAACTAGGGAAAGGAGCAGAAGAAGGAAAGTTAAGCATGAGAAGCAATTTAAATGTAATCAAAATGGAAATAAAGTGTTTTTTCCTATTATAATGTGTCAAAGCCAAAATATGTTTTGATGTATAGTTTACACATTTTCCATCTGGGTTAAATGTTATGTACTCATACTTATAATGGACTGATTATTTCTAAAGCCAGGCTAAAATATATTTTCCAACAATCAAAACCTGTAGTAATACTCCAAGGATATCTTATAAAAGGCATAGAGACAGCATGCTCACTTCATTAGAAATCACTACGAATGCTCTTCATCTCCTGGCAAAATCTGACTTGAGGTGGTATTGTCTTGGAAACCATCCATGGAGTCTTAGTTACTAAAGGGAACGAGTTCATCTCTCAAAGCACGGTGACATGGCAGTTCATGGAGGGTATTACGCTGAGGCACTGGGATAATCTGGGATGCTCTAGATACTCTGTCATGAAAAGTGACCCCAGGAAATTTTTAAAATATCCAACTAACCCAGTCTTAAAAACCATCCAAGGAAAACTGAGTGGTTTTGCCCATTTCCATTTAATATGAAAATATTTTGTTCACCTTTAAGTGTAGAATTTACATATTTTTCACCCCCAAATTTGACTTTAGGCAGAATAAATGAAGAAGGAGAAAGAAATGAATGACCTAAAATGTACATATTATCATTTGACACACCACATTTAGGGAAACCTGGTGATTCACACTTGTATTCTCATCAGTGATTATAGAAGTTAATTAAAAATGTAGCGAAATCCAAATAAATTTGTACTTACCAGAAATACTGCTATAGATATTCCAACCAGAAAGCCTGCTATCACATCTGACCAATGATTTCGATATTCTGCTACTCTGTTGAGTCCAGTAAGAAAGGCCAAACACATTAAGCCCAAACATAAAACGGGCTTAGCAAGTCTTGTTCCTTTGGCTTTGATTGTGTTGGTAATGTACATCTGAAACATTAAATGAAAAATACAACTTTTCATGAAGGTATTTTCTCAATATATATCTGATATACTTGTATATTATACACACATATATTTATAGACATATCTATGCCTACAGGATTCAAATATTTAACTGTAGTTATGAATTTTTTTGAAGGAACTTTCTTAGAAGTAGAATTTTTAAAAGGTGATTATTTAATTTTACTTACCTGATATTTACTAGTGGCCAATTCTTTTAATATAAATCACCTAGAAACACTGAGCACTGACATTCCGAGTGATTTTTTAACTTTTAATGTACCTACTGAACTATTAATATTTAACTATTAATGTACCTATTGCTTTATCTGAATTGACATCTTAGATCACTACTGTTAGAAGGGGCAAACTGATGAAGGTGTATTTTGAATGCTTGCCTTTTTGTATGCCATATTGGGAGGATGGAGAATTGATAGGTCAGAACTTGTGACTATAGCTGTAAAAAATAAAAAGTTGATTTTCACTGAACAGACAGTCCTTTGAAGAAAGAATTTGAGGTTGAGTGCAGTGACAAGGTTTGCTTTTATGTTGTTTCAGAAATTGTGAAATTACTTTGTTTTAATTAGACTTTATCAGCCAGAATTAGGACAACAAAAAAACTTAACAACAATCAGGGAAAATGTCTCCTTAAAACAAACAATGAACAGATACCTACATTTTTGGTGTCTTCACATATGCTAATGAAGAGGATATAGCGCCAACTGATTGCCTAAATGAAATGCCCCCCCCAGGGGGCCACCATGCTCAAAAATAATTTGGTCTTTCTTCCACTCTGATTTATTCTATTGCTCAGTTGTTGATAATTTAAACTTGTGTTACGACATAAGCAAAGCTGTTGACTGCAAGGGGAATGTGTCAGCTAATATATCAAGTCATTAGTAAAGTAATTATAAAGGAGGTGGCTTTGACAGTCCAATATGTTTTTACGGTATTAATGTCAGTGGGTATCTAACGCTGATGACACGCTCTGAAAAAATACTTAAAAATGCATTTAATCACTTGCCTATTGCACTGTGTTGAATTAAAAAAAAAAAAAAAAACTGCCTGAGAGATTAAACCAAATATCGGCACTCAAGTTTTTCCTTCACAGCAGCCATTTCAGAATGCTATGAAATTTAGTAATTATCTCCACATCCCTCCCCGCCCCAACACACACACCTTTTTCTTTTTTCTTTTTTTTTTTTTTTAAGATTTTATTTATTTATTTGACAGACAGAGATCACAAGGAGGCAGAGAGGCAGGCAAAGAGAGAGGGAGAAGCAGGGTCCCTGCTGAGCAGAGAGCCCGATGCGGGGCTTGATCCCAGGACTCTGGGATCATGAAGGCAGAGGCTTAACCCGCTGAGCCACCCAGGTGCCCCCACACACACCTTTTTCCCTCCTGGGCCAAGTTTGCAGCCCTGTTAGCTGCCAGAAGAGGATGCATGAATATTTAAACAGCCCATGTGATACAAGGCTTCTATCTATCCAAGTTCTAGCCCTTTGCCATCTCTCTCATGTCCCAACAATCTAGGGTGGGGGGGGAGGGGAAGGTGAATTGTTTCACCTTTGGCCTGTGACCTTCGGAGCTGGGGCTGGGTACTGTAAGCCTGGGCGTGGCAGAGCTGAATAATTTCAGTGACGAAGGATAAGCAGACATGAGGGGGGGAACAAGAAGAGATGAGAGAGAGAAAATGATGTTTCTGCCATTCTGAGAGAAGGTGTTAAAGAGCTCTGCCCACACGAATAACAAGGCAGGGATATCACACCATTTCAGGTTGTCACGGATGCATGTAACGGAGTAATTCCTTATCTGACTAGTGCCTATGAATAGGGAGTGAAATTGGGGCTGCTCGTGAGGTTTTCCTTAACACAGCTATAACGTTGATTAATTCTGGCTTTTGCATTTCTTCACATCTGTCAGAACTCTAAACATACTCTGTCCTTATTAAGAGAAAATAAATGTGGGAGGATAATTGAAGAGTATTAATATTACTAATATTCATTACAGCTATGATTTAGTGAGTGATCGCTGTTCAAGGCAATGTTCTAAGTATCTTATGTTAATTACCTTATTAAAGTCTCCAAATAGCCATATAAGTCAGATCTCATCATTACCTTCATTTTGTAGATGAAAAAAACTGAATCAAGGTAAAGCTCATTATGAAGAAAACACAATTTGGCTTTTGGGAGTGGTACTGTTGAAAATGGAAAGATGTAAATGAGAAGTAAAGCACCTCTTAATCTCTCCTCTTTCTTCACTGATTTCTTGCATGGAGGAAATGGCCAATGGACACAAGCTGAGTATCAGCGAATACAAGAGAGTTGAAATCAGAGGAGAAACAAGGCTGCCGTAATATCATACGGTGAAGCCACATTTATTCTCTGCTATTAGGGAGAAACAAGAAGTAATGGAAGTATGGTCTCTCTCTGTGTAGACAATCTCTCACAGAATCTATCTGCTTTTGGAAAGCATTTGTCTTCCCCCCTCATCCTCAAAAGGCATCTCAGATACTTGTCCCAGTTGTATAGACATAGAGTAATCTATAAGCTTGGGTGATGACTGTGAGGTTTCTTTTGAATGTTTGCTCCAGTTGCACTAATGACCCAAACATTGGTTATAAGGACTCCAAAGATGTAGTCTGGCTACAGTGCAGACTCATGAAAAAGCTTCTGTATGAGGAATAGCCTGGGATTTGGCTCTTCCTTCACCAGATCCCCACTTAATGTCCAGACCCAGAAAGGAAGATGATTGAATTTTAAGGGTTATGGGAAAAGAGTGACATTTGTTCAAATACATTTGACTTTAAGGTGGATCATACCATGTTTTGTAATATATTTTTCTAGAGCATAATCAGTTTGCATGGATGTCACAAAAGAAACATTAGAGAGTTTTCACTTATACTCGACAACTCCTGGGTACTTTATGAATATAAGTGCCTTTTAACCAGTTTAATTGTGTTATTCTTACAGAAAGTCTATTATTCCTAATTTGCAGGAGAGGAAATTACGGCACAAGAATCTATTAAGCAAGTTGGATACAGTACAGAAATTGATTATTTATGCTCTCTTGGTTTTTAATTCACTTATGAAACCATCTAGGTTAACCAGATGTCAAAATGTAGCTAAAATAAAACAAACAGAAGAGTGTATGATTTGAGCAAGATCATATCCACTCAGTCCTCAAGGGTCAGTGGGTGCTCACTACCTTCCAGAACCCTCTCATTATTTAACCTTTGTTAGCGGTCCCTGTCCACCCATTCCGTGAGCATTTATCAGCGCAAAGATGCAGAAACCAAAGCTGATCGGCCGCTGTCCACTGTCTGGTATATATTCTTCTACACTTCTCTCCTTGTTTATACAAATATATACAGCAACTAACATACAGATAAAGGGGTTTTGCTTACTTGTTTGTTTTTACTAAAGTGTAATCACCAGGCCCATGTTATTCAGAAGCGTGAAGTGATTCACCTGTGATAATAAACATCCATCTGCTGGGTAAGTTTAGAAAGCATCGTATGATTTTAAAACACTAATTATATAAGTAAATAAAAATAAAAACAAACATTTGCGTTTGTTAAGCACTTACTATACACCTGAAACTGTTTCTCCAAGAGGAGACATCTAAAGTGAGATCCAGGAAAAGGAGTCTGAGAGTTCCCAGCAAAGGGAAGTGGTGGGGGAATGACTACTGAATTCTGTCAAATGCTTTTCCTGCGGCTACTGAGATGATTATATTGTTTTATGTTTTTGCCACACAAATTGTCTGGCATATGTATTTGTTTACCTGCTATTGTCTTTCTCCTCCGTGTCTATCTCACAGTGCCTGGAGCAATACCTGGTACAGGGCAGGCACCTGTGATGGGAAGAACACAGCTCCCTAATGATGCCCATGCACCAATCCTATGAAACAGAAGAAGGGTGCCACAAACCAAAGAATTCACGCAGACTCTAGAAGCTGCAAAAATCCAAGAATGAATTCTCCCCTAGAGCCTCCAGAAGGGATGTAACGGGACTGACCCTTGATTTTATCCTAGTGAGACCCATGTTGGATTTCAGAACAGCAGAACTGCAAGATAGTAAACTTGGGTTATTTTAAGCCACCAGGTTTGTGGTAATCTGTCATGGTGTTAAAAGAAAACCACTACCTTCAATCAATATGGGCTCAGCGTGTGAATAATGAAACATTCTGGGATTTTTAAAACTGGTCCAATGGAGGAGGTAACTGTGGCCTAGGGATTAGCGCATCCACTTTGCAATCAGTAAGACCTGGTTTAGTTCTTAGCTCTGCCGCTCATGTAGACAAGTTATCCAATGTTTAAGCCTCGGTCTTCTTATGTATAAAATGTAAATGATCACGAAAGCATCATCGCATAGTACTGGAAGGACTAAAGACACAATATAGGGGAAGTTCTCAGTACAGAGCTTGGCCCACAGTAAGTGCCTTGTAACTGCAAAGGTTAAGTCAGCGCCAGGCCGAAGAACACGGAAGTCCAGGGCCTACGGTGCTGCATGATCATGAAGATGGCGCCTGGTGAGTGGGGATCATTAGGTATGTGGTGGCATCATGGCCGAGCATGGGGAGAACTTGGTTCCTTCTCTTGTTTCTAGGCTCCTTTCACTTCTTCCTTATGCCATTTTGCAGCTTTTGTTTTCTTCTTCTAAGTTCTCTGTCTAAAGACAGCCACTAATTATTTGCAGTCTGTTTGTTGCCCTCTACTCTTATCCTTTGCCTCTTCTTTCCTACAGACAAAATTACCTCAATTCCACCCATCAGTATGGAAATAACTCAGTGGCCAGATCTCTCAGTAACACGTCATTCTGGTGCTTTTGACATACTGTAGTCCTCCTCCCAAAATGTAGAGTCCAAAACAGAGATATGGTCAGGGGTGCATATCTCCTGACCAGGTCAGGGTATAACTTACTTTTCTGGATTGCACCTTATGGTCTTACTCATGGATCTGTATATTGTAATTTGGTTAGGAATGG